TGGACATTCATTCCTGATCTGTCAAAGATTGGTGGACCATAGAGTTGAGGGTCCATTTCTGGGGTCTTTATTCTGTTCCATTGATCTATGTGTTTTTGTGCCAATACCATCCCGTCACAGATTTGCAATATAGATTGACGTCAGGCATTGTGATGCCCCCAGGTTTGGTTTTCTTTTGCAACATTTCCCTGGTTATGTATCCTTGGCTGCATGTTCTCATTTAGTACTGTGAATATGTCTTTCCAGCTCTTTTTCACCTGCAAAGTCCCTATGGACAGGTCTGACGTTATTCTGATGTTCCTCCCTCCGTACATAAGAAATCTGTTCCCCCTGGCTGCTTTCTGGATTGCTTCCTTGGTTCTAAGATTTGCAAGTTTTCCATTTTTAATTCTAATAGTGTATTTATAGAATACTTTGGATTTTCTATGTACACCATCATATTATCTGTAAATAGTCACAATGATCTCCTCGCTTCTTATTCTTTTTGTTTCTCTTGGCTTATAACACTTGGGAGATTCTCCAATGGAATGTTGACCAGAGTAGCATTGCTTGAAGATTTTAATATACCTTTCTCAATATCTGATAGAAAAAGCAGACAAAACATTGGTAAGACATGTGACCTAATTGACATATATGGAACATTACAGAGTCAGTGCAGAATACATTATTTTCAAGTGGTGCTAGAATATTTATCCAAATAGATGATATGTTGGGCCATAAATCAAGTCTACACATTTTAAAAGCCTGAAATTAACTAGGTTATATTCTTAGACTACAGGGAATCGAGCCATAGTCATAATGAAAAGAAAAGCAGGAAGTCCCTCAATGCTTAAAACTTAAATGTAAATTTGCTACATATCCTAAGGGTCAGAGAGGGAATCACAATGGAAAGTCTCGATCTTTCCTACATCAGAGCTCACAGACAATGGCATTCTATCCGTGAAGAGCACTATAAATAAGGTAGACAGGAGTTGAGCCTTAAGTCCGAGTTCTGCCTGCCTCAGCCACACCTGGCAGCCTTGGCATGTGGTCGCCCCCAGCTGCCCTTTCTGGTAGCCCTGAGCTAAGGGGGACAACATAGCCATATGGAAATGGGAAGCTCCCCACTCCTAGTGATGATGGTGCTATTGTATTGTCCTCACCAGTCCAACAAGATGATCTCTGAGTGAAACATGACACAATAGCAGCTTCTTGACCTTCCTTAAGGTTTGAAAATCATCTTGCGAGTCATCTATCAGAAATATGGTTTCAACATGTGTCCTTTTTTCTGGAAAAGAAATAGATCCAAATAGTAATTATGGTTTCTGCGCACCTGCCCTTGAGCTCCATCACACTGCTCTTTGTGGAATTCTCCCTCTTAAACTTCTAAACTATGATGTAGGTATTTTTAGTCACATTTTCTAGATGGTTAGATGGGGGCTCAGAGACGATACGAGTCATGGAGGATTTTAGTGTCAGAGACCTAAGTGGGATCTCCAAACTGACTCCAAATCCCTTGTTATTCCATACACGGAACTCTTTCCCTGTTATCTCTGGTCTTCTCCATCTGGAAACATATCAAGTACCAGGATTTTCTTGTTGTGTGGCCAACTGGAATGAATTCAGCCGGCCTTTTAAACTATGCCCATCATGATCAGTGGAGGACCTTTGAGTAAGATACTCCAAGATCTCTAGGAATAGAGACATTATAATCCGCTTGAGATCTTCAAGTTACTGAAAGAACTATCTTTTTTTTTAATTGATTCAGGCTCTAGTATGTTCAGAGTGTGCTGTAAGACAGGTCTGAAATAGTATTTAAAAACACTCAGCTCAGCCTCTTCTACAAAGTGAGACTGTGCTTATAAACATTGCTAAAATAGTCCCTTAGCTATGATTACTTACTTCCCAACCATCGTAGTGTTTATATGGTATGACTATGACTTAACATTAGTCAAAATCTGCAAGGAAAGAACTGAGACAGTGTATGCAAGCTTTAGGGGCACTTCATGTTTCCATTAGTGTTGTGAAAATGAGCTACTCTGTTTTATTCTATAGTCCAAGGGAATGGTGCCAGACATCTCTGAGATATCTAAGAGTTCTAAAATTCTGACTTTAAATTATCTGTGTGCTTCAGAGATTTGGGCAGGAGAAGGGGAGGAGCCCAGCATCTGTGAACACCTCTGTTACCTGTGTTGACCGTGGGACAGGTGAACTTCTCTAGGCATCATTTTGATTTTTTGGCACTATTGTTAAAGGTACTTTTGTCTCAAGTTCCTCCCTTTAGTAGCAATTCTAATGATAATGGAAATTTTTATCTTTTACCATCCGTGGGCCTGGATCCTGGGCTCCCAGAGAAGCTATCCTTTAACATTTTACCAAGGTCAAAATGACTGGGCCAAGCCTCAGAGTATGGGTCCTATTTCTGTCCCAAGCACATATTGTACATCTGGTTTGAGAAGAAAAAGATAACCCCAAAATGCCATTGCAAACATAAAGATAAGAAAAACAAAAGAACCTCTCTGGCTTCCATAAGATTAGAGTCATACCAACTTGTACAAACTGAAAACATAAGAGAAAGTCTGTAACTTTCTTGAATGTTCTTCCTCATGATGATATGTAACTCTGTATGTAAATCAACACAGAACAAATATATAAACCTGCCTCAAATGTTCCTTCCCCGGAGCACTCCCTTTTTTGTGAAGATTGTGTCTCCCAGGCAGCTGTCCTGACTTGGGTTTGAATAAAACTCTCTTCCTTTTTCTCTAAAGTGTTTAAAAGGGTTTGTTCATTCAGTGTCGAGAATAACAATATGTTTTCTTTTTAAGTGAAAAATAAATGTTCCTCGTTCACAACTCCAACAGCAGAGAAGGGCGGCTGTTCTTCATCCTGGAGCTTCCCTGCAGAACCAAGCATATGTATATATATTCCAGCATAAACGGGCTCATCCTACAAGGATGCTTTGAAGGTCCAAGAAGCACTATCCAGTCCATGGGTGAGACCGGAAGGCGAAGCTCTTCACGTTTAGAGCATTAGTTTTTGGGTTTAAAACTGCCTTGGAAATGCGTGAAACCATTGCATTTCCTAAAACCCAAAGCCTCAGAAAGTCCGAGCGCAGCTGATCTTGCCGGGAGCCAGGAACAGCTCTGCAGGCAGGGGTTGGTGCAGGAAGGGAAGGGGCAGGGCTCTGGGGGTGGTCTGCAGCCAGAGGCGGCCGCGGAATGGGCCGGGTGTGTGTGGGGGGGCGGACCCCGCCCATAGCCCCCGCCCACGCCTGCGCCGCCGAGCCAGGTGTTGGCGTGAGGACGGGCCTCCTGGACCACCTGCCGTCATAGGGAGCCGCGGGACTGAGGGCGGGTTGGCCGGTAGAGGCAGGCGCGGCATCCAATGGGCTCGGGGCACCACCCTCCCCGACCAATCACCGCGTGGGGGTGGAGTTACCTCTCTGAGGGAGGACCCGGAGCGGCCCCGGATGCAGAGGTGGGGCAGAAGGCCAGCTCCCAGAGAGTTCACCTGTAGAGTTCCCGGCTGGGTGAGACCATGCTGTGGGCCGGGGTGGGGTCCCGGGGGTAGGGTGCACCTCGGGTGGGAGTTGGGTCCTCGAAGGAGGCGGGGAGCGAGCTAATCCCGCGAACTCAGATGAGTTTCCTAATCGTTGAAAGTCCTTCAACGGGCGTATCCCCCAGCCCCGTGAACTCCAGGGCTCCGCTCACCCGAGCTTTTTTGGGATGGGTTGCGGACATTTCAGGGTTTCCCGTGTCCCCCTGGAGGGGTGCACGTAAGGACCGCACACAGTCCCCAAGTTCAGTGGGGTGCCCCCTGTCCCCTGGCAGAGTGCAGGTAATGGACCTTGAGTAGCACCCCGAGTTCAGCAGGGTGTCCCCTGTTCCCCCAGGCACAGGTGTGGCGGTAACAAGCCCCAGAGCCGTCCTCCAACTTAGCATTGTGCCCCATGTTCCCCGGGTATGGTGGTAATGGGCTGTCAGGATTGTGCGGGAGGGTCCTCCAGGTGGGGGCCTGGAGGCTGGAGTAAACTAGACCCTACTCAAGTTGCATGAGGAACAGATGAGTTGAGGTGTTGATTTGGAAGAGTCATTTCGCGTTTCCAAAAATGTCAAAGTCATTGGTCTACTTTAGAATGAAGATAATTAGTACTTAAAAAACAAGTATGTGTTTCCCCTTCTCCCAGAAACCGAAGCAGGTGTGCTTGCCATAGGTCGGAGGTCCTACTTATCCCCACCTGACAGCACTTCTCCCCTCTGGCTCCATGAGACCCGAAGTTTTGAACATCAGCATGTGAGTCAGTGATGCTGCTTGTCACAGGACATCAGCATTCAGAGAGAGCAGCAGGTCCATTTGGCACAATGTCATCTTCAAGTCAGGACTGGAGGTAAAACTTCTGATTAACCCCAAACCTCCTGGGCTTTCCTCTTTTTTCTAGTTGAGCTACAAAGTAAAACTTAAGTAGCTCTCAGCATTCTCCATTTGGTTCAAGAGTTAATTTCCCTGCGGGTAGAACATTGCAGGGAATCCGATTTTCTCTGTTCATTTATTGCTTACAAAATATATTCTGATCATCTGTTTCCTAGAAGTAACTTTTATTAGAAAGGGAAGGTGAAATTTACTCTTTGTGTGTTTTTAAGATATCTTTTGTTCCTCAATCTAGTAGCGTTTATTCAATTGGGCCTAGGATATGGTTGAGCGGCCAGCATCTAGAGTTAGGTGGCTTTTTGTCGTCAGATACAGATTCGGATGATGTCTTGTCATTTGTCAAAGGTGATGTTTCATAATTGATTAGTGTTTTCATCAGAAGAGTTACAGTTAGGGTCAAGGGAAAAATCAAAACTATTCAAAGCAGGCTTTTACTGTTTAAAAGTTGAGCCTGAGTTTCTAGTTTTTCTAAATGCATCCTCTAGATATTTTGACATGCTGTATTTTCTCTGTAGTTTCTTTGGTGGTGGAGTCAGAAGGAGAGTGTTTGGGAATTCTGGATGGAGGCATGCTGGTGGCATCAAGGGGCTTGTTGTCAGGAGCACTGGGCTGAGTTCTGGAACTGCTTGCCTGAGCCTAGGTGCGTCAGGTTATCCCACAGAGCTTCCGTTGACTCCTTATGAAATTGCTGGAAGGTAATGTCTATGGAAAGTCTTTTTTTTAAAACATTTTATTTATTTATTTGACAGAGAGAGAGATAGCGAGTGGGAACACAAGCGGGGGCGGGGGGGTGGGAGAGGGAGAAGCAGGCTCCCCGCTGAACAGGGAGCCTGATGCGGGGCTCGATCCCAGGACCCCAAGATCACCACCTGAGCTGAAGGCAGACGCCTAACGACTGAGCCACCCAGGCGCCCCTCTATGGAAAGTCTTTTTCCACAGAAACTGTTCTGCCTAATGAAGAGCCATTAAAATTGAGGTGATTTGGGCTGAATTATTCTGTAAATAATAGTTTTAATCCCCCCGTCATAGGATATGGTATTTTATTATACAAGGAGTCCTCAGAAGGTTGCAGTGAAAGAATCCGATCTCAGAGCATGTTCATATTCCATTGATATGTTACTTACAGTTTGCACAGGTAGGAAGGTAAATGGAGAGAAATACGACAGAAGGGGAAAGTAGGTGTGAACCATTCATTAAGTAGCCTTCTACCTTTGGGCCAGTGTCATTTTGGAAGAAGAGGGGGAATCCTGGAGCTCTGCAGCAGATGGGGGAGTTCCAGGTCTGGGTAAAGCTGACAGGGGCCTCAGAGGAGAGCTGAGTGCATTATGCAGGAGGGTGTGGGCAGGGCGGGCTCCAAGGCTGGCTGTGGGTCTCCCGTGTGAGAGTTGTGACAGGTGAGGGCCGTGAGCAGGTTCCTGGCTGAGGACAGGTGAGGCCCAGGTGGAGAGCTGGCCGAGCACCTTCTTCTTTGCCACCAGGCTCACCCAACACACACAACCTCATCATCTGTCCCTGTTAGTCCAGTTCAGACGTCTCAGAGTTGCCAGGCCGAGACGTTTGTTTGAGCTTCTTTCTTTGTGTGTGAAGTTTCAAAACTTTGATTATGGAAATGACGGGTCGTCAGAACATCTGTTACTCTTTCATTTCCTGCTCTTTTTTCTTTTTTAAAAATTTTTTAAAATTTTTTATTTAGCAACTTTTTAAAAAAAAAAAATTTTTATCCTGCTTTTTTTTCAATCACCAAAGAGAATCATTCCTGCTAGTGGAAGGGGCTATCTGTGTGTTTTTATTTCCCATTTTAATTAAACAATGGGAAAACAATCTTCAAAGATATTAAAAGAATCCTTTGTGAGTGTTCATGTTTTCCTGTTCCATGTACCACATTCCGATATTAGAAATTATGTTTTAAAGTAAAACACAGCCGCAGATCTGTAACAGGGTACGGTGCCCTTTGTGAGAGGGACACATGGAGAAGGAGTGTAGGTTCTTTAGGAGCTTGGGGAGTGTCTCGTCGTGCTCCCAAAGGAAATCGAGCCCCCTGTTAGCCTTCCCAATGGGGCTGCTTACCTGGTGGCCCATCTTGGGCTCTGGAAGCTTGACCCTGTGAGTCGCTTGCGACTTGAGCTGGGGAATTTATGAAGAAAACAAGGAATCCTGGAGGGTGCCTGCATCCTTTGTGCTCGGACAACTGCATGTCGCAAAGGAACCCATCACCCGTGAGTCGTGTCGGGATCCCTGAGGGTGTGGGCCTCGCTTCCTGGGCTGAGGTTGTGTCTTCCTCCTTATCTGGACCAGAGCCAGGGTGTGTGGCTATGGAGATCCAGACCCTTATGTGACCATGTCATTATTATTATTATTATTTTAAGAGAGCAATATAGACATTGACTTCGAGATACAAATATCAAAAGGAAAAACACAAAGTCAAATATATATATAATGACTCAACTCGTGGCATGTCTCATTCGTATGGGTCATGTAGGGCTGCCCGTATGAGAAAGACGAAGGAGTTATATTTTGATAGAAGTGTGCTGTGCACACATAGTGTTTTATTCTCTCATTTGCCTTATTTCTCTGAAGGGAAACTAGAGCGGTGACTGGAGCTTGGTTTCCGACTTTAAGGAATGGGAGACAAGTGAATTGAAAGAGCAATGTTGATGTTGACATGGTGCTCAGTGCCCAGTGAGCGAATGTTTGAAGCTCGGACTCAGAAGCGATGGTGTTCAGCGAGGATGTTGTCCGAGTTTCTAGCACATGGAGTCACTTGGCTGGTGTGCCTCATCGGGCCAGTTCCTGCCTTTCTAAGGGCAGCTTGGAAGTGGCTTGAAACCCTAGGGCATTTGTGGAGTGGCCTGGATGGGACAGCTGTGTGGGCCAGTGTAGACACCACCCAGGGAATTCCAGAGGTAACGATGAGCACATATGTGAGGCTGGAGTTTGCTTCTCCGTGAGAAGCATTGAGCTGGAGTGGAAAGAAGTCGCTGGGTCTTATGACTCTCTATGTGAGCAGGTCTGAGCCTGGCAGGGTAGTCGGATCAGATAGGTGGGAGGTTGTGACGCCATGGTGGTGGACCATCGCTCACGATGGGCAGGCCAGCTTGCTCCAGGGATAGGGACTGGGCTCTCCTCCCTGGCCAGCCCTCCTGCTGCAGATGTGATAAGAGAGTTGCTTCCTGTTTGGTTCTCGAGCCCTCGGCTCAGCAGGGTGGTTGGTGGGAAGCAGCTCACTCGCAGCATTATCGATTCTTGTGCAGTGTGCCCCCTGCTTCCTCAGAGGAGGCACAGCAGATGTCCTGTGCAGCAAAGCTTGGTTTGTGATGACATCACAGGAAAGAGGGACAGGTGCACCACTCTGCTTGACCACAGGAGGATTCCGGACTTCAATCACAGGTGGTTGGTGCAGGGAGGAGAGATGTTTGTTTCCCAGGACCTTGGGCAAAGGGAGATTTGGGTCCTGGGATGGGTCTCTGCTCAGCTTTCTCAGATGAGCACCTCAGGCAAGGAGAGGAAGTGTGTGTGCTCACCTGTAATCGAGGAAAGTGTCTGGTTTCAGGTCTCATGGGCAGGTGGAGTCCTCGTATGGCTCATTTTCCTGATGGTGTTCAGGGTGCAGTAGGTGGACCCCCTTGTCCCGGGCATCCTGGCTGTGCAAGAGCTCTGGGGCACCTTTTCCCCGGGGCTTTGGACCAGGAAATCGGAGGTAGTCCGTGGTGAAACCATCCGTGTAGGCCTCCGTTTCTGCCCTGCCGAGATGGACTGGTGACTGTGATAAGTTCTATATGTGGAAATATAGAGCAGGAGACAGGGCTGGCATGCTGAAGGGGAGGTGGGGGTGGTGCTTGCCATTCACGTAGGGGCCAGGTGGGACTTCACTAGGAAGGTGATCCTTGAGTCAAGATCTAAAGAAGGTGAGTGATATCACATCAAGCGCATTCTAAACGGAAGGGAAAGCGTGTGCAAAGGCCCCGGGGCAGGAGCATACCAGGTATGTCCAGGAGCAGCAAGAAGGCCCTGTGGCCACAGGAGACAGCTTAGGACATGGCCTCAGGGAGGGGACAGAGGGAGACAAAGTCACTGCAGGGCTGTGACCCCATGGGACCCTGTTTCACTGGGCCTTCTTGGCTACAGTGCTGAGAACAGGTGACAGAGGGTTGAGGATGGGCAAGGGAGGTCCATGATGAAGCTTTTCCAGGAATTCAGGCAAGAGATGGGCTCCAGTGTGGGCCAGACAGGTGGTCTCGGAAGAAGTGGTTAGTCCTATTCTGAGTACATTTTGAAGATGGAGCTCACAGGATTTGCCAATGGATTAGATATTGGGAGTGGCAGAAAGGAGGAATTGGGGTAACTCCCAGCTGTGGTTTGTTGTCCTGAGGAAGGGGAAGGAGGAGGTTTCTGGGGGTAGGAGGTAGTCCGTGTTCCCCATGCTGAGGAAGGTGCCTCTCACGGTGGATCTGCTGATGCGTGTGTCCGGGAGAACATTTAACATCTCCTCCCTCAGCAACTTTCAAGTAAAGTATCCCCCACTTTTTAAAAGTTCATGGTAAGACATTTGGGTTTTTTGAAAGATCTACGTCATTACTCGGCTTCAGTAACAGGAAGAAACCTGAAGAGGATTTCCCTCTTATGAAAGAAGTTGAAAAGTGAGCCTCGCGTTCAGCATCTGTTTTGCGGGGAGCCACTGCAGAGGCAGCCTGCACCCCAACCAGCACCTTCCTGGGAACCGCTCTCTGCGTCCAGCCCTCAGCACTTTGAATCGTGTCTGTGAGCATCTGCTGTGTTTCATCTCCATTTATTTTGGGCATCCCTTAGGAAGTTGTGCCCTGAGGCCTAGGAAAAGCCAAGGAGAAGTCATTTTTGGAGTGTGAGCACGCTCACTATTTTTTCTGTATAAATGAATGGTAATTCCTCCTTTGGTTTACACCATTTCTGCTGTGAAAGGTTTCCTAGGAACACTGTACTTTCAAATAGCAGGGGGACCTGTACCCCATCCTGCAGGGTTAGCTTTAGTCTCCATGCTGCAGAAAACGTTCCATGACTTACGCATTTTATCACTCAAACATGTGCCTTTGACCACCTTCCCACGTGCCCCCCCATCCCCGAACCTGGCAACCACCCATCTGTTCTCAGTATCTATGCGTTCAGTATTTTTGTTTCCGTGTGGAATGTCCATGACAGCACCTGGTATTTGTCTTTCTGTGTCTGAGTTACTTAGCATAATGCTCCCAAGGTCTCTGTTTCGATGTCTGGTTACTATGAATAATGCTGCAGTGAACATGCATCTGTCTTTTCGAGGTAGTGTTTTTGTGTTCTCCAAAGAAATCCACTCAGTAGAGCCATTCCTGGGTCATGTGATAGTTGTATTTATTTTTTCAGGAAACTCCATACTGTTTGTCACAGTGGCTGCACCAGTTTACATTCCCACTAACAGTGCACAGGGTCCCCTTGTCTACACACCCTTGACCACACCTGGTGTCGGTCTCTGGGATGATTGCTGTCCCTACAGTTGTGAGATGATAGCTGATTGCGGTTTTGACATAGGTTTTCTTGACGACGATTAGTGATGTTGAACAACTTTTTCTGTGTCTGTTGGCCATGTGGGTGCCATCTTTGGAAAGTATGTATTCACATATTCTTCCCATTCTTTGTACAGGTCTTTTTTGTTTGTGTCTTTTGATTTGTAGGAGTGTTTTGTGTATTT